ATAACTCATACATTAAGTATGGATACATTGAATACATGTGAACATTTATTTCTAGAATCCATATGGTCACTTATGCATATCTTCTTAACCATTATTTCCAGAAGTTTTTTTTTTTTGAATCGAAACAATAAAATTTTATTAAGAAACTAAATATGACAAAAGAGATGGTATCAAAAATCTGGTGTCATCTCTTCCCAAACATCAATATTTTCAACTACTTTGACCTTTCGGGCCAGTTGATGAGCCACACGATTTCCTGAACGTATAACAGTAGACAAAAAATAAAAAATAAACAAACGAAGAAACCGTTGTACATCTGCAATAATAGCGCCAATAGGAGAAAAATCTTCAAAATTATCACCAATCCTCTTCATTATTGTAAGAGCATCCCCTTCCAAAACAATTTCATCACACCCTATTTGCCTAGCAAAAAACACAGCTTCCCTTGCAGCCATAGTCTCTGCAGTTTGCGCTTCTACTTTGCCAATTGACTTCTTAGACATCCCAGTAATGAACGACCCAGCTTCATCTCGAATCACCACCCCTACCCCAATAGCACCCTCTTCGTCAAACACTGCTCCATCAAAGTTAACCTTAAAAAAGATCCAGATCTAGGAGGAACCCAACGTTCTGGTGCACTTTCTTGGACAACATTCTGACAAGAATCCAAGGCCTGCTCATACTGCGAAATAAACTCCATTGCCATATGACAATACACCACAGGGTCATTTCGTCTCTGCTGAAATAAAACCTCATTCCTGTTACGCCAAATATACCAACACAACACCAAAAATATTGCACCAAGTTTCGGCTTAAGCTGCAAAATAATTTTTCAAAACTAATCAACAAAAATCCCATCCACTCGATTTATTAAATGACAAAAAGGACTCTCATTCCATACTTGTCTTGCCCAAGGACATTCGTTAATGATATGTAACATAGTTTCAACACCCTCCCCACATACACAACATACCCCATTTGGTCTAATTTTCCTACGCCACAAATTTTCATTAGTAGGAAGAACATTCAAGATCATCCTCCATGCAAAAATCTTTACTTTACTGGGAACATTTTGATTCCATAGAGCACCCTAATTATCCCCAGAATTTGATGATGAACCAACACTTGTGCAACCCGAATGGATTAAATTTTGCTCATATGCTAAATGGTACGAACTCCGAACTGAAAATTTTCCATTGGCATTATAATGCCAAATTAACTTATCTTCCATAGGCAACACACCCAAGGGGATCCTTTTAATTACCTCTGTTTCATGCTCTAAAAAGACAACATCAATCACAGGAAATTTTCAGTAATGTGTAACTGGATCAATAAGCTCACTAACCATAACATCATCCTCCAAAAAATTCTTTGGACTAACCACTCGGAAGGTAAATGGAGTAAGAATCCATCTATCTTTCCATATATGAATTTTAGACTCATCACCAATCCTCTAACACGATCCGGTTTCAATGATCGTCCTTGATTCTAAAATACTCCTCCATATATATGAAGGTCTGTATCCAAATGGGGTTACTAAGTAAATGATAAAATTGACTCAAAAAGATTAAGCAAGGGTCAAAAAAGGAAACTGTTAGTAAAAAGGATTAAATAGACTACATAGAATTATTTGGGGGTAAAATAGGAAAATAAAAAATTTTCAAGTTGGTGTATAGATATAGATGTTAGGATTATATTAAGAACTGAATTATTTTTCCCCAAACAGTACCCCTCGTCCCGCGATTCCAGGCGTTTTGGTTCTCTTCAACGAGCCCCAACCTTCGAATCATTCACTTACCGAAAAGAAACCTTCAAATCAATCGATTCCAATTTCCTCCAAACACAGGGTTCGAATTCTGTGATTTGGAGTCACAGATCTTCAGAGTTTGTGTGGAGGTCAGTGGAGACGAGTTGTTGGCCCAGGCTTTGCGAGTTGGCAGATCGAAGTTGAGCGATTCGACGTAGGGCGATTTCGGTGCTCAATTCAAGATGTTTTGGCGTATGGCTGGATTGTCCACTGCCTCTCCGGTGGGTCTCTTGCATTTTCTCAATTCGAACGATTTGAATCTCTGTTTGGATGCGATGTTTTGATTTTCTGTGAGTTTGGAAAACGATGCCAAGTGATTTGGATGTTTGATTGATAATATGTTTGGCTGCTGAGAAAAAGGTGGGAAATTAAAGAAAGAGGATTGACTCGTTTGTTTAGTGCCATGAACAGAGCCTAGGGCGCGGGACTTTTTGAGTCCTAGATTATGGAAATATATAATTTTTTGTTGGGTTCACGTTAACTTGCTAACAAAATCTTTAAAGAGGAAACTGGATTCATATGCCAATCAATTTGCACCGATGACTATGCTGAAAAGGAGAGGCTATTGTATGGTGTATGAGGGCAGCAACTTCTGCAAATAATTTTAAAGGATATGTCTATATCCAGTTCATCTCCCCAACACCTTGATTGATGGAGATCAAATTAGGTAATTACCCTTAGAGAGGCCGACAAGATGTAAACTTAAATTTTAGGTGTTTCAAGATTCGCAGGATTGAGTCATGTATGTGTCAATTGTTGAACTTTCCATTGAGGATAGTCCTGTGAAATTACACCTGTTCTATTTGATAGTCTTTTGTTTGTCTGGATTTTCACCAAGTATATGATCACTCTTTATCAACCATTTAATAAAAGATTATATCATTTAGGTTAGCAAACCCTTTTAGTATAGTTTTAGTTAAACCCAGCTTGTTCTCATTTATTACTGTGAACGCATGTAGACACCAGGATTACATCTGTCAATTTAATGTATGTGTAGTACAAGTGTCATTAAACAATGCAATGTGTGCTTAGGTTGAATCAAGGAATAAAAGTGGAAATTATTGGGACTTTTGGTTATTTCCTATCACTTGAATGTCACTTACTAGTTCTTTAGAAAATGTGGCTTTCTGCTTGCATTATGTCATGAGGTACCACGTGGTTTTGGGTTTGAGTTTGAATTGGTTTAGGTGGCAATGTGATAGTGAACTTTTGATGGCTATACATACATGTTTAAAAATGACAAATGTTATTTTTAAACATGTACGTATAGCCATCAAAAGTCCCTTTTTTTACCCCAATTCTCGTTGTTGAACCATTAGAATTTCTACACTGGAAAAAAAATTGTAGGCAGGAGTAACTCTAAGCCTTACGTCCCCATAAAGGTGATTGTATTTAATTGCTTGTGCTCTCCTGCATTTGCAAGTTTCACTCAATTAGTTTGGATAAGGTCAATGATTTGATATATCTTCACAACAAGTAAATTGGTAAGAAACATGTATGTAACACCTATATGTGATTAATTTAGCAACCAAAATGACCAGGGAAACTTAGTGGCTCCGAAACCTTTGACTAAGCCTTGTGTGTTTGATCATTTTTATAATACCAGACTGCTGTTGAAGAAAAGTGACATTTCAAGCCAACAGAATACCACGAACCATAGATCTTGGATGTTTGGTTTTTACATGCGTTTTTTTGCAAGAATTTCAACTTTCTCTTTGAGGCATGCTACAAGATGTTGGTTCTCATTTGTGGAATGTTATTCAAATGTTTAAAGTAATACACATGATTCATTTTGTTGGAGAAATGACATTAGAATGCAGAGTTACAACTAGGGATTACCTCGGCATAACATATATTACAGTCAAGCTTTGTCTTATAGCGAGACCTCATATAATTGGAGCTGAAAATATGACAAGAATATATGATGGCACATATTCGTTGATTTTTCATAAATTTTGACTTCCCTTAGTTTGCAAAAATTGACTAATTTTTATTTTTTTAAAGATGAAAGAACAAAAGTGAAAATTGATGTTTGACAACACATAAAGATAAAGGTATATATTAAAACTCCAATAGTTTGTAAGAATTGCAGCTCCTCGTTGTTTGATGTGGTTAAATATTAGTACTGGAAAGGCATTAAATTGAGGTGGAATGAGGTGGGGTCTATTTTTGTAGATAGTGAATGGTGTGGAGATACTGTAAAAGGCTGAAGAGTCATTTTCAGTTTGTTTTCCCACTATAGGGAATAAGAAATTTGGTGGCAGATTACCTTACATAGGATCTGAGTGGAGTGGTCTGAGATGGCAGTTGTTCCGGGTGTTTCATGATTATATGGTGATTGCTGTTATAATATATGTGAAGCTTGGTACAAATTAATTGGTCAGAGTAATTATAGAGATCCCTTGGGTGATTTTATGAATTTTGATGACTCTGGTTATTGTCCTAAAGCCAAGGTTCTGTGGAGATGCGTGGTGTTAGCTTTATTTTGGGTGGTTTGATCGTAAACAAATGAACGGATTTTTGGGGACTAGGAGGCTCCTTGGAAGACCTTTGGGATAAAATCTCTTTCATGGCATCTTTCTGTGTTTTGACATCCAAAGAACTCCAAGTGATTCCATTACTTCTAATTAAGGACCATTGAGTGGGTGAATAGTGATGTCACACAATTACTTCGTTGTTTCTTTATATTTTCTTTAAAGCTTGTTTAAGCTTTTGTTTTTTTCCCCCCTTTTAATTTTCTTTCTTGATTTTCCTATAGAGGACTCCTTGTCCTTCCATGTACCTTATCTTTTTATTCTTAATTAATAATATTCTCTTAGTTCTTACAAAAAGTAAAAAAGAGTGACATTGGAGATGTCATTGGATGAGGTGCTTTGTGATGTGGAAAGTTTGAGGTGTATTAATTGTCACGAGGTGATGATGGGTAACTGTTAGGTCTCTCTCTATTTTACTTGTAATCGTCAGACCAATGCTAGCCATGATTTTGTGGTTGGCAACTCGTGGTAGCTAGCATTACGGGCTATTTTATTAAAAGAGGAAAATTCTCCCTTTTTTTTTTGTGGTACTTGCTTATAGAGGCATTGAAGTCGATGAACAATATTATGTATTGGCAAGGAATTGTTGTCTTCATTGATAGCCATGTTTGGTTTGGTGGGTGCTGCACAGACTAGTAAAGAGATTTCTACAATTCGAGATGGGTAAAGTTGTACGGACCAAAAAGGTACGAGAAGCAGATCCTCTGAGTGTTGTTGTGCAAGTGGTGGGAGATTGCAATTATTGAATTTCTGAAGATTTGAGGAGCTGATAGGCAAGTTGAAGGGGGGTCTTTTTTTTTGGTTTGGTCGTGGGATGGGTGTGCTCTTTTTATGTCCATGTTGTCTAAAGCTAAAACTAGTCTTCGCCAGGCAGGGGGCGATAAACCCTTGTACAAAGCCTTTTTGTGTCCTCATTTGGTCAAATGGGGGAATGGGATGTCAAAGGCTTGGCTTGGCTTGGCAGTTTGTTTATAATAATTTTCAGGTCATACCACCACAGAAGTGGAAGCTGCACATAATTGTTCACTTATGAAAACCTTGAACATAATGGCAAAAGTGTTCAATGAGGATTAGGCCTTTCTTACCAAGCATGATTTAAACCTTTCTAATTCTCTAATTTTATGATATTATGCCGACTTCTGAATATAATAAACAATATTCGATTAGAGATATATGGAGAAAGTAAAATAGAAAGATGGATGTTTGGTGCACGGAAGCTTGAAAGTTTGTGGAAAGCACTTTGGGAATGAAGGAGGATAAGTTTGAGACAAAGAGGAAAAGTCCTTGTTGATTCATTTGTTACGGATAAGGGAGCGTGGGATAGTGTTGGCCATCTTGTTGATTGGTATATTATGCTCTCACTATTGTTGACAATCTCTTGGGTGATGTCTGATTCTGTTTGAGCAGTACTTAAGAGTGAATCTCAAGCTTATAGTAGAGGAGTGATAGAAAGATTTAGAAGGGTGTCCCTGTTTGCTTGTGTGGTGTCATTGGAGAGAGAAATAGAGTGCTCCTGACAGTGAAGAAAGTAAAATCTTTAAGAAAGGGACTTGATGATGCATCTGTTCTTTTCTTGGTGCACATATTTTATTTCCTCTTTTTAAGGCTTGGACAGATTATCTTGGGAATGGAATCATACATGGAGGTGATTAATCCATCTTTTGTTCATACCATGTGTCCTCGGGTTGCGCCCTTTTCTTGGCGTGGTATATTGAATCGTTTTGCTTGTTAAAGAATAACCTCTTGGAAGAAATGCTAATATTTCCATCTGTTTTATGATGGCTGTGCAGAGACATATAGAAAAAAAAAAGTCAATGTGATACATCGACCAATAAATAAACTTGGTTAAATACTAAAAAAGTTAAAGAAAGGATTTACATGTGTGAAGTTTGATTTAATACAATAGCCATTTGTCCACATAGAATTCAAAGGAGAAAGCTGGTCAAATGAGGCCTATGCCTCAGGAGCCAGGGCCTAAACTGGTTCAGTTTTAGTTATGCCTGGCTTTCAAGGAGTGTGCCTTATGAGCTTTTTCTTAATTGTTTAGTGCTTGACGAATTGTACTATTGTAGTAGCTTAAGTATAGCCACTCCACACGTAATACATCAATGTGATTTTCTAGTTTGTTAGTTTATTACTGTATTTGCTTACAATTTTGATGCCATTTTGCCTGAATTTGGGTGCCAGTAGTTTTCTTTTTGAATCACTAAAAAAAGTGAATTATGAATATGCCTATCATTTTCCCCTTTACTTTACGTTCATTGCAGGTGGAGACAATTTTGGACAAGGAGAGTTTTACATTGGATGAGCTTCTGGATGAGGATGAAATAATTCAAGAATGCAAATCTCTAAATGGCCGTCTTATCAATTTGTAAGGCTTAAATTCTCTCTAGTGCTACATTTTCTTCATTGCCTACATGCTTCGAGTATGCGGTTTCAAGAAAATATTATGTCATAAACAAGAATCCTTGTTATTATCTGATATAGGAAACTATGGTTTTGTGATTGTTTGTAGTAATAATACTTGATGATGTTTTCATGGTATCTTGATCATCTATTTTACCCCTCATTCATGTTATGTAGGGCAAATTCATATTCTGATAATTTAATGTTGTAAACTATGTTAAACATTCTGTCAGGGTTGTTGTTAAGTCTGGGAAGGCAGAGTATGACTCAGATTATCACTATACAAGTATATAATGGTTAAATTGTCAATATACTGTCTTTAATGCAATAGTTATTATAGCATGATAGTTTGGCTGCTATCAGCTTATGATAGCATACTTCATGCCTTCAGTTTGCTATCTTTGTGTTTGTTTCTCTGTTTACGTATGCAGGTGTGTGAGTCTGAAGAGGTTTGGGGGAGGGGGATAAGTTCGTTCAGTATGCTTTTACTAATGGCTATTACTTATTACTTATGGAAATGCCAACGTTTGTGTTGACAGAAAGACTATTTAATACCGTAAACCACAGACACTTGAGTCACACTCAAACAACTGACTTTTCTCTGGTTTATATTGAGCCTGCTGATTCATCCATTTCTCTTGGAAAAAAATTCTTGATCCATATTTTTGAAAATAGAGAATCCCTGAGGCCTCCATTCCATTTTGAGCTATTTTATTAGAATTTCTTAAAGATGTATCCATGAATGTTAACTTTTGTTTTTGGCACGCAAACTGGGACTTAACTTTAAATGATGTATGTCATAAGGTGCAAGTATTGAAGTAGTGTCATTGTTTAAGTCAAAGAGCAAGAATCAATTACTGTACCCAAACCCAAAAGGGTGACATTACCGTGGGAAACAAGCCTTTTGGGATGGAAGGCAAGCAAATGAAAGGATGCAGTTTGGGCTCGTTACACATGGCAGTGGCTTTTAAACTTTAGAAAAGGTTTCTCCAATGTGGACCACGGAGTAAACACCAGCAACGTTTTTGGAGAAGGGGAACTGAAGCTTAGCAAGCATTTAAAGCTGATTACTGCATGAGCACTTGTTGCACAAAATTGTTGCTGTTGATTTTTTATTTTTCATTTGATCTTTTCACGTATTCGTGATATGTGGCCTCCACAACCTACCCTGTCAGGCCAATAAATGCCTGCTTGAGGTTAGGCCTGTGATAAGTAGTTGCTATCGAAATGCAAAATCCATTTATTGTTGGTGTATCGTGTATGAATCTTGGTTTTGCACATAGCTGCCATTATTTTGGATGCGTTGTGTGTTGCATGATGTTAGCTGAATTTTTGCTAGCAACAAATTGGTAGTTTCTTGTTCCTCAGTCATTTAAAACTGATTTGATGCATTTGCCATATACTTTTGTTTTATTTTGTTGCTGTGCAACTCTGAAGTTTATTCCGAGATGCTTTTTGCAAGTTTTCAAGATTTTTCCTTTTACCACAGCATATATTACTTCATAACCTTTGTTTTACATTTTCTTGCACTGGCTGTCTTGCAGTTTGCGAGAAAGAGCTCAAGTTGAACAGCTTATTCGGTACATAGTTGAAGAAGCACCTGAGGATGCTGAAAAAAGAAGAACTTTTAAGTAGGTTTCTATGTACAGACATGTAAATTTTTTCTCCTGAATGCTCTTTATACACCAGGATTCTTTTTATGATTTTTCCAAAAAAAAAAAAAAAAAGTTACATTTTTCGATGGATTTTGTGATTTTTTTGTATCTTAACATCCACTTAACTTGATGAAAGATTTGTTATCTGACTGCATACATAGGTTTCCTTTTATTGCTTGTGAGATTTTTACTTGTGAAGTTGATATCATACTCAAAGCACTGGTAGAGGATGAGGAGGTGAGAAGTTATTGGTGTTTGTTTCCACACTTTATCTTTACTTAGTTTTTCTCTTGGTTGGACTCAATATAGTTATGCAAATTGGTTGTTCATATCTGGTTGACAGTTGATGAACTTGCTGTTCTCCTTTCTGGAACCAGAAAAGCCTCATAGCACTCTACTGGCTGGTTACTTCAGCAAGGTATCTTACTATTAAGCTTTGGTGACACATGTATTCAACCTACATGTTCGCATAACATTCACTTTATCACCTAGAACTGACTGTCCTACTCCTTTTCTGAAGGTGTTGTTATTTTTGTTTTATGTTGGTCTTTGATACACTGATCTTTATATGCTAGGTTGTTATATGCCTATTGTTACGGAAGACCATGCCTTTTATGAATTATATTCAAGTAAGTATGATATTTGTTATCAGTTACTGGGAGAATCTTATCTGCTTATGTATTTACCATAGGAATTATATGCTCACTGCATCTAGGTATTTCTTTATACGCACTTGCACGCTTACAATTTGGTCATGTGCTTGTTCATTTTTTTCTTGGCTAGAAAAATGTAGATATTGTGGTTTTTGTTTAATACATCTTTAATGTCAACTAAGGGTAGGCAATGGTGCAGCAGTAAGGTTGGTCCTGTGTTACTTTGCATCAAGGGTTTAAATCACGGAAACAACCTCTCTGCTTTCGGGGGTAAGATTGCGTATTTTTGACCCTCCCTAGACCTCACAGTGGTGGTAGTATTGTGCATTGGGCCGCCTTTTGTACATATTAATCTCAACTGCAGATGAGTGTTGTAATTGTGGTGACTGGCCCATTGGTGTTTTTCGGGAAGTCCTTCTAATCACACTTCCGTCATGCATCTTTTGTCTAGCCACACAGGGAAGAAAACTGCTGCAACTTCTGTACTATTTAGTGTCTCATGCCTCCCCTCCCCAGTTTGAATATGGCTTATCCATCTACTACGTAGTTAATCTTTCATCCCTGGCTCCATTTATTTATGTGTATCCTTTTGCAGTTGTTGACAAACTACTAGCTAATATGCTGAAAAAATAAACATGGAAGTTGACAAGAAAGTTGGTATTCTAAAACACAACCGTGAAGAAACTTTATTATTTTTTAAGACTATATTGTTTGACCATTTGCGTAATCACTTTTGAAATGGTAAATACATATTTTTTTAGTCAGCATATGAAGACAAGACTTGAATATGTGGTTTATTTTTCTGTTAGATACTAACTATTGCAAGTTATTTAGTTCGGAAAATGAGACTATTCTTACTAGTTTAGGTCAAGGCTAGATTTGAATTCTTTGCACAACTGTTATTTATGCTATTTACTTTATCTTACAAATATATGATGTATATCGAGCACTGAATTTCTCTTCTTCATTACCTGTTAGACTATGTCAAATGGTATATAGTTTGCACAACATTGTGACTTTCCTTTTTCGTTTTGATGTGTAAATGTCATGGGCTATCTGTGCATCATGTGCTCGTTTAGGTTCATCAGGAAATTATCCGGAAGCTGGTTGACCTTATAGGAATTACATCCATCACCGAGGTTTGTTGTTCAGCAGCTATGTTTATAGTTCCAGGATTTGAACCCTTTGATGATTCGTTTCTTGTAAAACAGGTTTTAATTCGTCTGATTGGTGCTGATGAGCATCTCTATACCAACTACGTGGACTCCATGCAGTGGTTAGAAGATACTGATATGCTGGAGATGATTGTCGATAAGTTCAGCTCTTCGGTAAGTTGCATCCCGCGTCTGAATGTCTTGAATTTTATTAACCCTTGGTAAATTCTTTGGGACTTGGTCGTCTTTTGGTGCTCTTTTGCCCCTTTAGATGGAATTGAGACGCGATGCTTTATTGGCTTTATGTTACACACCGAATATGTCCAGTCTCTAATTTGTAAATTGATTGTGGGTCTGCAATGAGTTCATGGACTGGATATTTCAATGTGTGGATTGACTGGCAGTTAACTTGGGTTGCTGTTGTTGGTTTGATGAACTTCTAGAAGCCAAAATGCACTTGATTGTTGCTCATATCAGTATCACTAACACCTAACAGAATGCACAGGATTTATGTTAGTTAAAGGAGCTTTAAGTGAGTCAAACCTCAGACCTATGGATGTGTTGAAGGCTTCTGTTCGCCTCGCTTTTTTATATTTGTTGCTTAATTTATGTTCATTTCTGGCTTTTGTGGGTGGGACATTAACATGGGGGGGACTAGTTTGATGCTGTAGAAGGTCCGCTCATTCTCGCCATAAATAAAAAACTCTTTTATTGGCAAGTATGAAAACCAGCCAGATGTGTCAAACTACTTCATCAGACGCCAATGTGCATGACATAATTGCTTTGGTCATTATTGCATGCCCAGACAATTCTATTGATCCACCTTAACTGCTGGAATCATATTGGAATTTGGAAGTTGACCTGAACAATTGATACCCGTTGTAAAGTTTCATTTTTGTGAAACTTTAGTGCCTTCCTGAACATCTGTCTTGCAGAGAATGAATGGTCGGTATTTCCCTTAAAAAGCACAAAATTTTCATGTATAGTGGTTAAACTCTTGTTTTAAACTTCTGAATCGTTGATATGTGAATTGTGACGTATATTGTCATTTAACGGGATTATCACAGGATTGTCCTGAAGTACATGCTAATGCAGCAGAAATCCTATGCGCTATAACTCGATATGCTCCCCAAGGACTAATTGCTAAAATCTCTAGCCCGGGGTACTTGTTTCTTTGTCATTTTCATTGGAAGTAAGCAACTGATATTATCAATCTTTTTCACTTCATTAACTGAACACCTGGTTGTTTATCTGTGCTTTCCCAGTTTTATAGCAAGAATATTTCGGCATGCTTTGGAGGACTCGCGACCAAAATCCGTTTTGGTTAACTCGTTGTCTGTATGTATATCTTTGTTAGACCCCAAGAGGCTAACATTGGGAACATATCATATGTACAGTCGCCAACTGACTCAGCAATCTCCAGTAACTGCTAATCCTGAGACGGTGGAAGGCATGCTGGAGAGCATTGGTGAGGGTACTTTGATTGATATCTTATCAAGTTTTTGTTTGCACTTCGTTAAACACTCTACTTCCCTGCCAATCAATAATTTCTTTGGGTAATATAACCAATTTTTGGGTATGGCATATCCACTGTTCATTGCAAGATCTGTCCTTGACTTGCCATAAACCATGAGACATCACTCAAATCACTGCTTTTCTAAAAAGTCAAAATGAAAATGTTGATATATGTAACATTGAGGCTATATTGTTGGTACTTAGGACAAATTTGCTATTTTGTTTTCTAGATACTGGTACTCTGGGATGATTTGCTCTCATTTTTTATCTGTAACCGGTACACAACTTTGTACATTATGATAAGCCCTTTTCAGGGGTAATAGGGCTGTTGATCATGACACAATACTAAGCACAGACAAGTCTAAGAAGGTGACATGTCCATGTAGAACATCGATGCTCTTTGTGAAGTATTCTTATCAAAAAAATAAAAGCTTATTTTTGGACATGCGACTGACACTTCTTTGGCGACGTGTCCTATTATTGCATGTAACTCGATCGGAAGACATCACTGGTTAAGCAGCATGTAGCATGTGAATGTTTGCAGCCCTCATACCAAAGCATCCACATTTTGATTGACATTGATCAAACTAGTTCTGCATTTTCCTCTGTGTGCACGTGTTCCTGAACTTCAACCATTGTGTGGACAGGTGTGACCATTTATGCCCATTGTTTTTAGTTTGCTTATGCCGTACACTGTGCAATATTTGTAACAGGATTGAATTGAGACTTATGGTTTTGATTGTGGTTTACCTTAAATAATAATTTGCAAAGCAGTTTAATGTGGGTATATTGGGGGACGCCTCTATTTTTGAAGAGTTAAATATCATGATTGTATGACAAACCCAAAAACTATTTTTATTGTACTGTGCAGGTAATTTACTCAAGCTTTTAGACGTTTCAGCTGAGGAAAATGTGTTGCTGACTACCTATGGCAAGTTGCAACCGCCTGTTGGGAAACATCGTCTAAAGGTATTCTTTCAATATTGCCTTGTAAGTGATATTCAACTGAATTTGTATTTGTCCAAGAGAAAATGTTGTCTTTTAATTTTTTTATTCTTGCTTTCAGTAGTCGTTAGAGAATCACTTTATTTATATTTTTCCTTGGTCACTTGTCAATAATGAATTTGCCAGTGACAGATTATTTTTCTTTGTTTTTTTTAAGTGTTCCTTCACATCGGTAGTTGCGGCCCATACCAACATAAGGGCTTTTTTCAGAAAACCCTGTTTATACTAACAGAATGTGACAAACGACTTTGTAGTCATTTCTGATTGTCAATAAAATGGAACTTGCAGATTATAGAGTTTATCTCAGTGTTAATGACTGTTGGTAGTGAAGCTGCTGAGAAGGAATTGATCCACCTAGGTGCAGTAAAATGCATTTTAGAATTGTTTTTTGAGTAAGTGTCTCAATACAGTTTAGTTTATTTATTTACTTACATTTATTATCATGGAACAGAAAAATTCTGGTTACTAAGAATTGGTTTTATTATCTCTGCAGGTACCCATACAATAATTTTTTGCATCACCATGTAGAGCAAATTATAGAATCTTGCTTGGAGAGCAAGAATGCTACACTTATTGAACATCTTCTTCACGACTGTAATCTTGTTGGGAAGATTCTTGACGCAGAGAAGAATTTCTTATTGACCACTAATCCAAATGATCTGAAGAAGGTAGTGCTTGATTTTTATATGTTACTGCAGTTGGACATTTATAGTTATATAATTTCTTAAGTTCTGGTTACGATGGCACTGTTATTATTACTTTTTTAAGTGTTCTATGCAATACCAGTATTGTTTTTCTACATTTAAGTTACGTATATTGTAGCCTTTTGATGATTGACTTTGCTGATGGATCTTTCAGCCAACTGTCCCTGCTGAAGGGAGATCACCTCCCAGGATAGGGACCATTGGACATCTCACTCGAATATGTAACAAACTTGTTCATCTGGGGAATAACAATAGTGATGTACAGGCATATCTGCAGGTTCTTTGTTTCCTTTTCTTCACATCCCTCCATTCTCCACAAGTTAGAAGCATGTCTATAAATTATTTTTTCTTTTCTTTTCAGTCAGCTCTGGCCTCTACTAAATCAATTACTAATATGCTAAGTAGGGTTAGGGTTGTTCTTTATTTTTTGGCCACTAATATCATTTTCTATTGGTTTTCTCAAATATTGTGTTTTTTATAGGAGAAAAGTGAATGGGTAGATTGGTATGCAAATGTCCTCACCAAGCGCAATGCAGTGGAAAATGTGTATCAGTGGGCATGCGGGTATGATCCAATATTACAACTGTAGTTGTGCTGTTCTTTAACATCAGCATTGTATCTTCAAAAGTGTTCTAAATTAATGATTTGATTAATAAGCCTGGTGCATTTAACTTTGATGATTTAACTTTTTATTTTGTACTTTTGTATTTTCTTATATGTTTTACGACCTCTTAATGGGTGGATGCCTTATCCACTATAATGTACTTTTCGCTCTATTTAGTGGAAGTTTTTCTTTTCGTTTCGAAAAAAATTGAGCCTGGTCAATATGCTTGATACCTGCTATTTCCGTCGTTCTTTTCTCTATGTGATAAAGGTTCAAAGGATGATGGTTGTCAGGAAGACTAGTCACTTTCTTTGTTTGAGCTGCTTTCTTGGAGGGTTTCTCTCTCTTTCATTGTTTTTTTTATGTAAATAACTGTGTTGCGTAGCCATTTATTATTATCATCCATTGCCAGCTTTCAAGTATTGAGGTTGCCAGCTTTCAGGTATGGAGCCAGCCAAAGAGGATTGCCAATGTCCAAGTGTTGTATCTGTGGTTGTTTTAGTGGAGATTAGGGAACAATTATGTCCAGCCTTTTAAAGTGGGTTTCTATGTCGAATGTCATTGGAGGCTCTTAGAATAGAAGAGCTGTAATGACAGAATTCATTAATTTTTGTTTCTATATCTCTGCAGGGTTTGGTTATGCTATGGGGCCTGCCATTTTTTTTGGTTTTCCGATTTCTGTTTTAATAATGTGGTGCTGTCTGGCATTTCTGACCTCTTTTCTCATATGAGCAAAATTTTCTATTTGTGAACTTTACCTTTGTATGAGTAATATAGAGAGAGAAATCCTGAAGATAACTGGTACTGGACTTGGGGATATCTCTATCTAATTGTGCTCTACAAGTAAGAGTTTCTGGATGGAAATATGTTATAGGAAATATGTTATACTGGTTGCAAATTTCTTGAGTTTTCCCTTTGAACTCCTCTTTGTGAGACACCTTGTTCGAATTATTTTCATTGATACCACATTATGAAATCTCATGTCTTTTGAACTTGGACTTCTTCATTTATGCCCTACTTCGGTTATCCTGTTTTATGTTAGTGGATTTTTAAATTTGAGAAGCTACTATTACTACACCTTATCCAAGTTGTATTTGTGTTGTTTTGATTTTCATTATTTGGTTATATATGGTAAATGTCTTATTTAATGTGACAGGAGACCAACAGCACTGCAGGATCGGACGAGGGACAGTGATGATGATGATTTCCAAGATAGAGATTATGATGTTGCAGCTCTAGCAAACAATTTAAGCCAGGCCTTCCGATATGGCATTTATAGCAATGATGATATTGATGAGGTGCTATTCATGATTTTCTAAACTACTTCACATTCTTGTTATTCTTTTGTTCTGTTTTCATTTTATCTTGTCTATATATATTGGTTTTGAAATGTGGATTAAAATGAACTTTTAAGTAAGAGAGAACAAAACTTGGACATTAAAGAACCCTCGACCTACTGTATAGGGATGAAACTAAAGCAAGATTGGTTATGATATCAGCCTTTGGGTTGGCCTCCAGAAGTGAAGAAAAGGTAGTAGATGGTTAAGGTACTGGTGAAGCAGAAGTCCATTCAAATAAGGGTTAGAGACACTAAGGTTTCCTAAGATTGAAAGGTTTTATGCCAGTGAATAATGTTTGTGGACTTTGCTGTTGTCTTGAAACCTCGTGATGTGACCTTTTTTTGCTTGAGAGTAATCGGTGAACTGGCCTAGATAGAAGAGATTATCCTCATAATGGCTGGATTGATTCAGTTGGAGATTGAATACATCTCATCTTGTGAGACCAGTGATCTTATCCGCAAACCATTTTCTGTAAATAGTCCCATTAATCACTTCGCTATTTTAAGACTTATGTCACTTCATTCGATTATAAAACCACTAACAAGTGAAACATCTTCATCTTTTGGTTTCTTTGTCATTTTATAGCCTTTGAGGATATCAGTTCGTCCGATTGTAAAATGGAACACTTGCTAAAAATCTTCATCCTATAGATGCTTTGTTTTAGCAAATCTTCCAATGTCAGGTATTTAGTGCATTGAAGATAGAGAGGACAGAAGTGAAGGTGGTACTATGATGAAATCCATAAGATGCCCAAGAAAACACAAATTCTAAGATTTGAAACACAATGGAATTGGCTTGCCATCAAGACAATGATACATATGGATCCTTGCATAAACATAATTGAGTCTTATTTTGAGTTATTTGGGTAACCAGATTCATTGGAACTGCCATACTAAGACCCATGGGTTGACTTTTGGGTCGAATTTTAGTAATAGATATTTCTAGATGTAGAGCGGTTGTTCTAGTCTATATTAGTTTCCCAATCTATAAGTCTTTAGAGTCCTAATCTTTTTAGGATTAGGAAATATTTGGACATCTATATATAACTCTCTAACATTTTCAATAACAATAGATAGATATTGTCCATAAATTTTCAGCAAATTATGATTTCGGATTGTGTTATTCAATTCAAACTCTAGATGTGATGCCTGAGGAACCCCAATGATTCCTAATAAAAAATTAGGTCCTACATAAATTTTGGTATTATAGTTGAAAGATCATATGTTGGGTTAAATATTCACATAGGACGATGGAGATCTAAGATTTTGAAGGAAGAAATGATCTTACAATATTCTCTAGGTGGTGTGCTTTGATTGAGGAGTATTTTGTCAAGTATGGAAAGAGTAGGGGAGAGATTCAATATGGATATTCCCTCACGATTATACACATGGAATTGCTAGACACAACTTAGAGGGGTGAATATGTTTATAGTAAATTCTCGATTGAACAAACATCAATTTAAAAAGTAAAACACCGCAATTGCCGATTAATCAATTAAGTACTTGAAACCCAAAAATTCAGTCATGCGAATTGATGGAAAGATTTAGCAATTGATTGAATTACACTCAAATTCACCACGACCACGATCCCACATGAAAGCCAATGTTCATGAAACCCAAATTGAGGAATGACTTAAATAAATCAATGAAAGTGGCAACTCATCAAACATTGTGTGTGAAATTGCAAGTGTGTTTGTGTATGTGTGAAATTTAAGCAATCAATAAGAATATCCACAACACATGCAATTTATTGACGTGGAAACTCTTCTTAGGAAAAACCATGGAACTGATTTTGGTTCACCAAGAGCCTAGTCCATTAAACTCAAAGTCAATTCACACGTACTTGGGCCTTATACCTTAACAACTTTTCATGATTAGATGCTCTTTTCCATCGTAAATTTCTCATCCGGATATTATCCACCGAAGTCTTAAGTAGGTTCACTTAGATGCTCTCACCGCAATGAACTATCTAGGCCCCTCGATCAATCTTTAAGGCTTTACACTCAAGACTTTCTGAATGAACACACCAAAGTGGCTTTTGTTATTGGGTAATACAAACGTAATGCTAAATAGAAGAAAAAGTTCGACTCACAAATCACGTGTTGCAGAATAGGATCGACCGAGATGTCGGATACATCCTGTTTGTTACTTACAGATGTAGAAACTATAACAAAAAAGGCCAACAATATGACTGTAGAACTAAATCATTTTATTAAGCACCCTATGGATTTTAAGCATTTCTTTTTGTAATTCTTTATGGGAGTGGTGCTAAAAGCTTTACTTTTTGGCTTCCAAAGAAGCTTGGCTTTCTGTATCAGTGCAATTGGTACCACCTCAATCCCCTTGCATGTATGGAGATCAAAGAACATATGTACGGATGATTAGTTCTGCAATGATAAAGAATTTACTAGATTGGATCAGTTTATGATTTATTACTGGATTTTCATGTCTTTAATTTGGTCCACAGCATTATTTCCCGCCAGCCTGGACTTTGTTTCTGATTTTTTTGATAATTAAAATTCTAATTAGAAAGTGCCAGGAGGTGGCGCAACCATTTACTTACACCATTTACAAAACGAGCATGCACAGAAAATAAAAGTACAGCGATACACATCCCAAAATCCACAAATATCTAAGAAAAGAGACTATTGCACCTGATGCACCTCATGGATTTTAAAAAACAAGTAAAAAGAAAAAGATGAAACATGGAAAGCTCCACCAGTTAAAAAGACTGACTGTTTCTTGCTGGCTAAATAGTCCATGCAAGATGTTGGCATATTTTTGACGTCCACGAAGTCATATATTTTGTCAGCAAAAAGTAGGTTTTTTAAATATGAATAAAATGGTACATGAAGGACGAGAGATCCTCCAAATGGTTGCCCAAAAAGAAAAAAGAAGAGTTGGAGATGTCTTTTTGTTGGTTTCTTGCAAGATTAACATCTCAAAATAATATTTTAAAATTAATTTTTTGTAATGAATTTCAAAATTTACCATATCGCATGGTGACATGACGTGTAACTGAAGCAGTGGGATGCATGAAGCACATGAATGAGGATTGTCAACTCAGTACTAGTTCTATATAAGTTATTATCTTCATCTCTTCTCATTAGTTTACTTAGCTTGAAGTAGTACTTCAAGGAGACTGGGTCTTTCTATATCGATGTCTGTAGGCATGCTCACCATCTAATTGACATTTTTATAACAGATATTTAAAAAACCTCAATTAAGGTTAAGTTCATTTTTATCAAAAAATCAAGGCTAGTAATTGAATATCATTTGATTCTTGCTTGGTGGGATTAGAGAAAACAATAGTGATTTTCATATTCTCCCTGAGGGGGAGTGAGTGGGGTGTTGCGGTGTGAAGGAATTTTTTTTTTGTCTGATATCATCTCATTCAACTTCAGTCAAATTTTCCAACTTGCCTTTGTCCCTTTGTTTGCTTTAATGTGGTTCACTGCCCTTGGACACCAGCTTGCTTGCTTATAGGTCCTTACAAAGTGACGCAATATCTTGTATTTGGAATTATCATATTATGTTTTCCCCACATATATAACACTCTTATTTTGTTACATGTAGGCTCGTGGCTCACTTGAACGAGATGATGAGGTATGTTTGAGTTGGCTTTTTGTGTACATCATTCTATGATCTACCCTCTATTAACCTAGCAAATAATGAGTTCATGCTGGTCCAATGAGTTTGTGTTAGGTTTCTAAAGAACAAGGTGAAAGAAAATTGGAGGAAAAATAGGAAGTGGACGAGTACTGTGTGTGTGTGTACGCAAGTGAGATGATTTCTAGGTTGAGTCTGTTGTTTGTATCAGAATGAAAGGTTTCTTAAAGTAAATTTTGCAGGATGTCTACTTTGATGATGAATCTGCTGAAGTTGTCATTTCTTCTCTCCGTCTGGGTGATGACCAGGAAAGGTAGGTGGAAGGACTTGTTTAATCATCTGCTATCGTGCATTGTTTTAACTGTAATAAGAATTTTTTGTGTTATGTGGAATGTGGGGTTTTTGAATGTTCTGTATCTGTCCCAAGTCCATTGACGGAGTCAACACAGGCGGTGTCCATCTGATGTCTTCAGGTCGGATCATTGTTTGTTTGTTCGTGGTATGTGTGCATGTTGAATACAAATGGTCATTTTATGAGGTTGATGAAGGCTGATGGTGACATCTATATTCCTTTTGTTTTGTGCGGAGTTGGAAAATAGATCATGTTCCCTCGGAAGAATTTACTGAGTTTAAGCATTTTTTTTTGTTGATTTACAGTTACCAGGAATTTTTTTTTTCCCTTGAATGTTCTCTATTTAAGCTATTATTGTGTGGTCATGATTCTTGTTGGCTTAGATTGATTTCATAAAGAATGCATTAGTGATCTGGACAGTTTGTTTATGCTTGTTGTTTCACTGGACGTATATTTTGTTCTAGCATTCCGGCCTCTGAGAATGTTGCTTATCTAGGTTTATTTTTCAGTTGCTTGACATATCTATGCTTGCTTGTTGCATCTTATGATTCCAGTGGGTCTCTTTTTACAAATTCCAACTGGTTTGCATTCGAGGATGACAGAGTAGTTAATGAGCGTTCTACTGGTTCGGTTACTTCCCCATCGGCTAATACCCAAGAGACTGAAATCATCAATGGGAGTGGAGATGATGAGGTCATTGTTGATGAAGATGATGATTTGGCAGGCACTGCAACATCTGAAGTGCCTGAACCAAAGCCCTGTTTAGATGATACTGCACTTGGTAATTTGTCTGAGGACTCAAGAGCCACTGGAGCTAGTGAGAATGATAAACAACCTGAATGGGTTGAATGGAGGGAAAGTTCCGATTCTGTTGAAGGTCCAGATTCAACTTCAGAATCTATTGAACCATCGAATGCAGATGGTATTACAGTTTTACCCAATGGTGAGCTTGAAGTAGAATCAAAGGCTCAGGCTACTGATGTTGACCCGGATAAAGCCAATGCTTCTACCTCATCTGTTGATGTGGTGGACCAAGGCAAAAATGATACCGGAGGATCACCAGAATCACCAGATGATGACTCGAGTGCCCATCTGTATCAACTGCCAGAACCAGGAAATGAAAACCCTAGCTCTGACACGAGTGATTCTGTAGATGTGGAGAAGTCTGGTGGAACAGAAGTTCCTTCTGGAGCTGCAGTACATGAAGAAACAAAGTGATGCAGGAACACAGGTAAATACTCGAATTCTGTTTAATGGAGCTAACTCAACACTGGTTCCATTGATCTGGTGGGTGGGTGACCCACTGGGAATGGCTTTCCTTTGGCTAGTCTCTAATGTATCCAAAGCCTTCTGTGCATTAATGGGGCTTTTTTGCTAAAGTAGGGCTAATGATTCTTTCCCTCACCCGTATGTAACCGACTGCCCTCCCTCAACATAGGTGAATGATTTTGATGCTTTTCTGGCAAGTGATTCATTAAGTTTATTTTAACTTGTTCTCTACCACTTGGTGAACTGTAAAAATCTCTGTGATGATCTCAGTGGACGCTATATGTTTACAATAGCTGTTTATATTACACAATTGTCTCTTTTCTGTTGGTGCCTGGTGCCCAATTGCACATGTACATGCCTTGCACTTAAAGGATTAGATACTACCCTGGATGCCATATCACCTACTATGTATTGATGACGACTTGAAACTGTGTGAACTGTATTAAAGCATTAAGGACTCTCATTTTCAATCTCTCAATCACTTGGAATATTTGTGGAGTTTGGACACCAAATTGTATCTCTTGGGAAGTTAACTATGCTATATATTTATTATTATTATTATTTTTTATTCAATAATCAGGGGTGTCCGGGTTAATTTGTACGCACTTTGACTATATTTTTCACTTGCATTTATAGAAAGCTTGGTACAAAAATTGAAAACAAATTTTGCGGAAGAAAGCTATTGTACATGATTTGTCCAGTATTTTAACCGAAGGTTTACGAAATGTCTATCTTCACAGCTCGAACTGTAACGCTTAAGTCAATATCAAGTAACCCCATTGATATGCCAAGGACTATACTTTGATATAATAAACCACTTACTGTGCTTACTCAAACAATTTTATTCCAACATTTTTCGGTGGGTTTTAGTAAAATTCTATCCATTATGTGTTGGATATCGATATTTATTTTTTTGTTGTTTTATTAAATAAAGAAAAGATTAAAATATAGCCAACAAGAAATCCACCAAAAGAAAAACGAAAGATTGGCAAAAAAAAAAATACAAACATCTGACATTAAAAGTATCATGACACCCACAAATTCATTATCCTAAAAAACTTATCCATATTTATATAGGCTTTTTAAGTAATATCTTCCCTTTTTTTGGGAATGTGTATTAGAAAGGTCAACAAACAAACATTTGAAAGTTTAGCCAAATCGAAGTGTTCTAAACTTGAATCTTATTATCTTCTTAGGACTAAACCATAAAGAATTTATTCTTCATAAATAACCAAATCTCTAATTTCTCGACGTAAATGATCTACTTTTAAACGGACCGAAAAAGATATTAATCAAGGTATACATAAATTAATGTGGATACTTCTAACCGTTTAATAAAAGATAAAAGTTCAGCCAAAAAATTTATTTACCATACACGGGTAACATGGCCTGGCGTCGATGTAGTTAAAATCCACTATGCATTCACCCTTACCTAAAAATAATAGCCCTTGCATGGCATTGGTAAGTCCTATGATCCCCACTCCCCAAAAAAATAAAAAAAACACAAAAATAAAGTTGCAGAATAATAATCTCCCTCGAAACCTTTAAAATATTTGTATGTATGACAGGTCGAACGGGTTGAGGAATGGACAACACTAGCAACTGTCATTTGATCAGATTACGAAACAAAACGAAGGTCTCTTCACATAGGTCCATCCTACCCCTAATGTATCACTTTCGGGTCACATTTATGGATGATCTGCGAGCATGTGTGCCTTCTATATATTCCCAGCCATATTAGATAGGGAAAAAAGAAAAGAAAAGAAAAGAATAACTGTAACAAAATCCACTTGGCAGGATACATGATGCCAACGCACACAATAATCAACAAAGTTATCAACTATACCAAAATTGCTGAGACATTAGACTCTCCTATTGAACTTTCGAACATGCATAAGCTAAAAAGGGAATGCTGAAGTATGAGTCACCATATTCATGAGAGCTTCAAGGAATGCATTGCAACTCCATTACGAGCAGCAGGATTACGTTCCCACCTTCCTAGTCGAGGCTCCTGTGCAAAAGGAATATTTCATTAGTATTAGAAAAAATGGCAGTATTTAATCTTTATATAGGTGAAATATGAAAATGCAATGCTTAATGTGAAGGTAAACGTACCCCCCCTCTCTTTTTTTTCCCTTCTCTCTCTCTCTCTCTCTCTTAATGTTTATATGCATTGACAGACAAAACGGGTATAAAGCAAGAGTTACAATGTAAGTTCTTTCGATTTATCAGAAAATGTCTGTCGACACATGTACAACAATATCATGATAAGAAGCAAATCAAATCAATGCAGCTTTGATTTCAGGTGCATCTGATCATTGAATCATGCATTCTTCCCCTGCCCTCGAGAAAAGGAAAAATCTACAAAAAAATTAAAAGTAAAAGTGAAAAGAAAACAGAAGAAAAAGCAACGCATTAGGGGAAGGAACCATCTCTACTAAAAAGCACCAGCGTACAAAGAATCATGGATGGAAGAGGTTCCTAATAAACCATTGTACATGCCAAATGGGTCGCTACAACGCGTCTTAAAAGGTTTTAATATGATGCTCATTACACTAATTGCAAGACAACGCAATATTGCAACCACTCAAGCCCCTGGGTGCAATGCAATGGCTTTGCTACAATCACCAACCTATAGCTCGGCAGAGGTATTAAGCCCTTGGGCACACTGAAATTGGCTTTGCTACAATCATCTGCCTAGGGACTGGTGCAGACATTAATTTGACTAATGATTGGGACAGAGGTGAAAAAAGGATATTTTTCCGGTTACAAAATGCTGAATTTTTTACACACAAGTTGGAGAAAACACTTCACCTGCCCTACTCCAGCAACCAGGAACCGTCCTGATCTTGCGAAAGCCAAGGAATTTACGAAACCAACCTACATCAAAAAAACAATCATGTAAAGTGGCGAGACCAATTCCAGTAGGGTGACACTATTTTTACAACTTGAATATTTAGAAAACAGATAGTTATAGTTATAGATATCATTTATAACAGGACAAGGACATATTTGAACATGGCAAGGGTCTGCAAGTTTCTTCCAGTTACAGCAGGTGAACATGAACACTTCTGAATTCTCTAGGCAAGAAATAGAGCCACCATACTGCCGCACCACAGCAAAGCAAATATGCAGAGCACTCTAGACAGAATTTTCATCGTGTAAAAAGCAAAGAAAGAGTAAGGGTATGCTACATGTCAAAGCAATAAAAATGTTACATCTCTTTGGCAGCAATTCTCAAATTAATCTCACACATTCTTCAGACTCTTTAAAGAAAATGCAAAGGCTATGTACTTAGTTCCAAAAAAAAAAAAAGAAAAAGAAATAAAGAAAAGAATACTAATCGCCATGCTCAGATGTATTTTTGTGTAGTGAAATTTCCTACTTTCTAAAGATATAGTTATGTCTTCACAGCTGTTTGGTTTGTTCAATTGAGTATGTAGGTCCCAAACCATGAGGATATATCAAAAATCCACCAAAAATAGAACCAGCTAGATCTAGCCTGAGTAGACACCCTCATGGTTACGGTGACCTGATCCCACACATGCCACACACATGATATGAGATACTTGTGCAATCTCCTTTAGGGGCTGTAACTGGCTATCGATCTCTTAACCATATTTCCTATTTTATACCATAAACAATTTCAACAAGAAAAATCATAAAAAAACAAGCGAGAACAGCGAAGTCAACTTGCAAAATACAGCTTCATTTAAGGCACCTTTTTTAAGGCATCCACAAAACAGCGTTGATGTTCAAAATGAATTTATAAACCTAGCAAAGCAAATATACTCAAATTGATTTCCAAGCAATGAACTTATTTACAGACTGATAATACCCTAAGTTATCAGAAGCTACACAAAAACTCTTCATTGGTTATAGCAAACAGGAATTCTTCTGCTTATGATCTACATTTAGCATACTGGAAATAAAAATAGATTTGAAGCAAGTTTTAGCAGCAAATTTTCAATCACATAACAACCACAATAAAGGCATACGTGAAGCATAAGCTTACCATTGGGAGCTCAAACAAGGGCCGGATGCCTTTGGCTTCATTTTCAATTTCCCAGAGACGAATTAAACCATTACCAGCACCTGATGCAGCAAGATCACTGTTTCTACACACAGCCACTGAACTGACCCAGGAATGTGCTGATGAACTAACACTTTCATAAGTGTAGTCACCATTTTCTGCAGGATGGATTTTGAAGAAAACACTTCATTAGATGCTATCAACTAAAACACAAAAGAGGCTGCAAAATACACTCATGTAAAATTTCCACATACACAGAGGAAGTGGGATAAGAAAGATAAAGAGTCACAAAATAAGACAAACTTTATTGTCCCCCCATATCAAGAACCTTACTTTTCTCCACATAGATAAAATCTCACAAAAGATAGAGAAACGTCCATTAAAGTGAAAGTTGAAAGGCTAAGTCATAAGTTAGAAGATCAAGTTAAAATACAAGTGTAATACTGCAATTCCAAGCAGCAACATAAAACATGTACCAATGTGGTTTTACCTAGGTGTCCATTTGACAGCTCATTCCTGTCCTCCAACTTGTACGGAGAAAACAATGCATGTGCATTTTTAAAAATGTGGATTGGCTTTTTTCGCAATATACTCCAATGCTCAATACTTCCATCATCAGATCCCGACAAGAATTCATCATTATTAATGAAACAGCAGCACTCAAGGGATGATGCTCGAGCACGAAATACTAACTGCGACTCCTCAGGGACCTATTTTATTCAATAGAAACAACTAGTTAGCCAAATAAATAATAAAAAGGAAAGATCTATAAACATTCTTCACTACTTGTACAAACAAACGGGGGAGGAAAAAAAGATAATAGACAAGGCACAGGCTGGTTGCTAGTAAAGGTAGGGGCTGAAACCTACAGACACATGCCACAAGAGGGTCAAGTAAAAGTGAACATTGAAGAATCAAAGGCCAAAAATCGGTGAAATTTCAAGGTGGGCCTACTTAGAACCCTTCATGTTTAAGGTTTAAAGTCACATGTGTCTATTTACTCTTTCCTTTAACCAGTAAGCTGCTGGTTATATTTTATCTGTTTTTGAGTTAAGTTTTAGAAGTTAAAGAACACCTAAAGAAACCCTAGTTGTTTTATGATGTTGTAATACTTAGGTTGTGGATACCATTGAATATGTTTTCTGATCGTCGTGAACTACTCACTATCTAAAGTCATAATAGTCAAAGAGCCAAGGGTTTATTTTTAAGTCTTAGTTCTAGTAGTATACTGAGAAGTCCACTAGCCAACATTAGCTATGTGCTCAATCAATTCATTATTGGAGTTAGTGTCAACAATTCATTATTGGAGTTAGTGTCAAGAATTCCTGAGAAACTTTGTGTTTTCAGAACAAACCCTACAGGGTATTATTCAACTTAGAATTCTAACCCTTTTCTTTCGGTTATTTCTTCCACTTAATATGCAATCAAAATATTATAAAACATTATTTTCAACCCAAAATCATACTAATGTGTACATTCCTTTCCTTCAATAAACGTTTAATCCTAGCAACAAAAAAAAACACAAAAACTAGAGTCCTATTTATGAGCAGATGGCCCAATGTTAACTAGGGGTGCAACTCGGACGGGTTGGACAATCAACCCTAACCCAACCTTAGATGTAAAATCTTTAACCCTAACCCTAACCCTACCTCGGGTTGGAGAACTCAACCCAAGAACTGCCCGAGTTTAATTCGGGTAGGCTCGGGTTGAATTCGGGTTGATGATTTCAGGCTGATTTCGGGTTATTTTATGGGTTCAATTCGAGTTCAATTCGGGTAGAGTCCAAAATAGGCTTGCTGTTCTAAACCTAATACATATATTACATAATATTCACCTAAATTAACAACCAATAACTTCAACTAAGTTTTTAACAAGAGAGGCTGAGAGAACAAGAGAGATAGAGAATGATAGAACAAAAATGAAAAACCAGTGCTAATGCTTTATATATATATCATATATATATATATATATATATAATTATTTTTTAATTTGTCAGGTTCGAGTTGAACTCGGATTCACGAGGCCTTAATCGAGCCCAACCCAAATTAAATTCGGGTTGAAATTTTTTGACCCAAACTCAACCCAAGTATTAAGAACCCTTACTCAAGTCCTAATTTTTTTGGGTTGGACTTGGGTTGCTCAACCCAAGTTGCACCCCTAATGTTAACTATGTAAAAATAGCCAACAGCCACCAAATCCATTTTTTCTATTCCCACAACTACCAAGCCAAGCACTATAGCAACCCTAATATTTTCTTCACCTTTTGTCGTTTAATATAATGCCTAAACACAGCCATAAGTTGTGGTCCAGAACTTTCAACACTACAAGTAATAAGTTTTCTGCAACAAAACATCCCCAAAATAGAGTCAAATTTGACCTTTTCGTATGCCCAAGGCTTCCAACCACTCTTCCAACTTTTGAAGTCCCAACTCCATAGTTATCAAATTGTGTATCGGAAGGCATATCGTTTTTTAAAAATAGTGTATCGTAAGATACGATGCAATTTTAAATAAATAATAAAAAAATATATATACTTTTGAAAAAAAAATCATACACTTATAAAAACATAGCATTTTATTAATACTCCACCAACTATTCAAGTCATCAACATAATCTACTACTATTATAACGCAAAGTTCACAACCATAATGCAAATTTCACAACCATAGTTCACAACTATGTGGGATCATTAGCAAGTTTTTTAGTCAATTCTATATGAAAATACGATGTTGGTGATGTCACTATTTCACAAAATTAAAATTAATCAAGATTAAAAAAATTTTATACAAAAAAAAAAATTTTATTTGGCTTTATAAATAAACTAATAGAATTTTTTACACTGCACATGTTAGCTGGACTAGCTGAAGGAGGAAGAAAAAGGCAGTTGCAACTGCAGATCCAGGGCTGCTTCGATGGCTTGGTTGCTTTGAAGGCTTCTCAAATTTTGCTGCCTTCGTCGATGAAGAACAGAGAGAAGAGAGAGAGGGGCTAGACTGGGTTTGTCGTCAACAGAGAGAAGAGAGAGAGGCTAGACTTCATCAAAACAGAAATCTGCTGTCATCGTGAAGTCTGATCAACGTCGTCGAAGACTGTTGTGTTTGATCAACGTCTTCGTCGTCATCACTCGTGAGGTCTGAAGAACACTCAGGTCCAAAAGGGAAGACAGCGAACACCGACGAAGGAGAGGAAAAGAGGGATTTATTTTTTTTGTAAACCCTGCCGGGATAAAACAATCAGTCTCTTTTAGACAAAACGACATCGTTCCATCCAAAAAAAAAAAAATTAAACAGGTTTTGTCGTATCGTTCGTATCGTAAAAATGTATCGTGTATTGGACGATACAACGAAAAAACGATACATAACTACGATCTGTATCATTTTAGGCCTGTATCGTGACGTATCGTACGATACTTATTGCGTATTGTACGATACTAACAACTATGCCCAACTCTACAAGCATTCCACAATCAGAACACAGCATATTTTAAGTTTCCTAACCCCAGAAATCGTCCACCTCCATACCTTGTAGAAAAAGGAGGGGGTGGGAGTTGTCCAAACGGAGTGCTTAACCACCCATTTAAAATGTAGCCTTCATGCAATGGCTAAAGGACAACCACATCATGGTTCCTGCCTATCCATACATAGAATCAGTTGAATAGAAGGCATGCACTAAAGAAATCAGATCCAAACAAAAGGTCCATCTGCCAACAATAAAGTTCTTACCAAAATACTGGAAACGATGCCAAAGACAACAATGACAAAACCAACAACCCTTTAATTATGTTGCCTGTCTTCCCAAAGATATAATAAATGTTAAGCACCAATCACAGGAAAATTGACGCTTACCTTCCACAGATGCATAGTTCGATCACGTCCAACAGTTAACACCCGTTCTTTCCTCAAGCAGTCAATAGTTAATAACTCACTTTGATGACCAAATAATGTATTTATGTAAGCCCTATCATCTGCATTCCATATCTTCACTGATCGATCAAATGATCCAGAAAACAATTCTGATGTCCCTTGCCTGAATGTCAAACATGACACAGGTCCTTTGTGGCCAGGAAAAGTCTGTAAATCATATTAGTGGCAAGTTAAAAGGCAGAAAGACCCATAAGCTAAAGGCATCAGTGCAATGATGTGTCATTCATTGTCATTACTGACAAATAAGTACATGCCTGCACATTATTATGGAAACTTATGATGATAACTCCGTCAGGATTTGAGGATCTATCAACACCTATCACCCGAACTTAGCTCACAATGCCTTCATAGAAAAAGTTGACCCAATGAAAAAGATTGAATTAGTAGTCTAAGCATTATTTCACATGACTGAGATAGTTGGTACCACGTTTCCACAGATAAGTACTGCATCAAGAATGGCACAACCAAAAGAAAAGTTTTACATCTCTGATGTGAATATGAAATGGGGCATCTAAAACACTGCAAACACAAGGCAAGCAGTAAAATCTACCATCCAAATGTCTAATAGTCTGAGAGGTCACTCACACTCCTTCACTGGTAACCTATTCTCTGACTTCTACTTAAAAATTTCAAACCTTTAAAATTCTTCAACTTAATATGACTTCACATTTCCATTTCCAAATGAGGGAAAAAATTCCTGGAAAAATCAAATGGAAAAATTAGGCAGGAGATACCTGGATGTGCTCTCGCGTACGGGTATCCCACAAATGAATATGACGATCTAAACCACCACTTGCCAAATACCGACCATCAGAACTAACAGCCAATGACAAAACATGTTTACTGTGCTTTGCTGCTCGACCTTGTGGATCCTTTTCACCATGGGACTTTAGCACTTCCTCACTTGGCCATACATAATTTTCCCTCTTCCCACTCTCTACGTCCCATTGAACAATAGTACCATCCTTGGAACTTGAAAATCCCTTCGAGTCATCTTCAGATAGAGCTACGGCAGTAACAGATTGTCTGTGTTTTACTAAAACCCGAAATCCATCAGTCGTTTCTGGCTTTTGAAATCTAGGAAATTTAAGTTAAAAAACATAAGTTTCATGATAACAATCTCCGTGGATTCCATGAGTAAATTTAAGCAGATGTATCCTAATAAGGACTTCGATCACAGTTCATATTTGACCAAAAAACTTGCCATTCAGTACTCTTGATTAAAAGTGTTCGCAAAGTATAAATCTAAAATGGTAAAAAAACTGCTCAGCATACAATGCATTTATGAACTGTCGGAAACAACTATTGCATTGTACCCAAGATGCATCCCATCAAAGACTATGTTTGGATACACAAATATTGTGTGCAAGCGTAATAGAGGCAGGGGAGGTAAGGAACATGATTTCAAGTAGGAGATACTTGGCAGTTGAGGAATAGAAATATTTGATGAGAATAAAACAACTAAAATGTTGTGTGTAATGCAAAAGATTCGAGCTGGCTTCACTCATTGTACTTTATCATTCCATTGGTTTCAGTAAAGTGATAAAATTGACAATGAAATGGATAAGAGACAGTGCAAAATTGATGTAGTTGGGCTTAAAAATCAGTCACTCCCTCCACCATTCCATTAAAGTAATTAGAAGAACATCAACCACACAGTAATTAGATCACTAATCTAACCTAGATTAAGGCAATCTCTGCCTATTGGTTAGAAGTATTTTCAACTACTTCCAAAATGCAAAAAAATTAGTTTGATTTCTGCACTGACGCCCCCCCCCCAAAAAAAAAAAAAAAAAAAAAGAAACCAGCAAAACCCGAAATGTTCATTGAAAAATATTCCTAAACCCAAGAGAATTACTTTCATTTTCCACTCAAAAACACAAAAGACAACAATAAGTATTAAATTATGGCAGTAAATACCTGGAAGCGATGGATCTCCTCACACGCCCACTCTCCTCCAACTGCTCCTGCTGCAAAATCTTGGCCACAAGCGAATCCCTCTCTCCCTCTCTCTCTCCCTCTCTCTCCTCCTCCTCATCCTCCTCTGCTTTTTCCCTCTTTGTAATCGCCCTTATCTTCTCCAAATACGCCTCCGCCACTCTCTTCCTCCTCTCTGCCGCTGTCTCCTCCTCCTCCTCCTCCACCGCTCTTTCTGCATCCCTGGAAAATGGGTCATTGTCATATTCTTCTTCGGAACTCTCGATATCATCGTCTTCGATTTTTCTTCGCCGTTTTGAGTTCTCAGGGGCGTCGAAAAATGGGTCTTCGTTTATTGGAAATCTCTTTTTCCCCTTCTGGGTTTTGCCCTTTTGAGCTGCGGGTTTCTTCTTCTGGTTCTTGTTCTTCATAATTCCACGGAGAGCTCAACTTTCAATGCAATATGCAATGGTGTGTGGATGTGAGCAGCGAGAGAGTCTTAGAGAAAGAGAATTTCACCTCTGTTTGTCTGTGCTTGATTGTAGTGTGTATGGGTATGAGTGTGTGTGTGTGTGAGTGAGAGTGAGAGAGAGAGAGAGAGAGAGAGAGAGAGATACGGATATTAGGGTTTAAAGTTGGGGTTTAGGGAAGGAGATAGAGATGTGTTGCAGCCGTTGGGCTGGTTGACCCAACCCAAGAGCCAAGACCATCAGGGGCTTGATATAGAAAGTGGACTCTTGGCCCATACCTTTGCTGCTTGGATAAGGCATGGGCCTTGCTTTGTGATCGAGGGTGAGTTAAGGCCGTGTTTGGACAAATGGGCGGAGTGACACTATTTAACACAACACGATGATATTAGTTAAATTTAAGGTTAATTGAATCGGAGGTTCTTAATGTATGAGATTTCTCTTATTTTGATATCTAATATTTCAATTGTATTATTTTAGTTTTAGAAGAATTGAATATTTATATAATAAAGTAACTTATAATTCAAATTTTAAAAGATAAATAAAATGACATTTGCTATTCACAGTTGAGATCATCTTAAATTTTACTTTAAAATTAATCTAACAGGTAATATTAACATCCTAAATTTAATAGAAAAAATAGGACCCTAAGAGTGTGTTTGGAATGATTTTTTAAAAGTCATTTTAGAAATTATTTCTCATAAATACTTTTAAAAAATTAGTGTTTGAAATCACCGCCACTATTACCGCCACTGCCACCACCACCACCACCACCTCCATTGTCATTGCCATCACCACCCCCATCGTCGCCGTCGCCACCACCAACACCACTACTGCTGCCACCGCCACCATCCCCACCACCACCCCTGCCTTCACCACCACCACTATCACCCCCACCATTGCCACCATTACTGTCGCCGCCATCGTCTCTACCACCACCACCAGCATTGTCGCCGCTGTCACCACCACTACCGTCGTCATCGTCACCACCACCACCATCGCCGCCGCCCTTGCTGTCGTCCCCACGACTACGGTTATTGTCACTCACCACAACCATCATCGTCTTCTACCAACACCTCTCACCCTCACTATAAATCAATGCTTAAGTTTTTTTATATTTTCTCTATATTTGTGATTTGATTTTAGATATGAATACAAATATGTTTATTTTTTACCATTTTTTATTACTTTGTGTCTTTAGGTACATGCAATAATTAGTGTTTCTATATGATCCCTTAAGTAGACAGTGTGTAGATTGCTAACGATTTTTTTTATTATAAATTTGTCATGTGATACTTACATATGATCAAAAAAATAATTTGAATAACTTATGACCAAATTTCTACGCAAATGTTGGTCAAAATGCTACCTACATTGCATAGTTTTGATCATGATATATCCAAATTTTGATCAAAAGCTACTCATATTATACATTTTTTGTTAAAAGTTACCTAAATTTTAGTTAAGAGCTATTCAAATTACTTTTTGTCCATATTTAAGTATTACATGATAAATTTATGATAAAAAATTGTTAGCAATTTGGGTGTCGTTAACGTGAGGGACCATATAAAAATCATATTCAATATTTCAAGGACTAAAATAATGTAATTAAAATATTATAAACTAAAATGAGACAAACCTCATACTTTAGGGATCTCTATTGTAATTAACCCTTAAATTTAACAAGAAGTTAATGGATATGGGTTGAGACAATTTTATTTTCCTTTTGTTGTAAACACGGATTGACACGATAAATACGATTATCAAACATGTTGTGCTTGGATTTCTAATATTAACTCGCTTGAGTCATTTATGGTATGACCAATATAATCCATAAAATGAAATTGTGCTTTTTAATTTAAATATTGTTCTCTTGTATTTTGAGAGGTCAACTTTGACTTCAATTCAAGTCATAAAACAAGTGATCCAAGAACCAACCATACAATAAAATTTAGACTTGGGTTGAAATTTGGGTTCAATTCTTGGGTTAAAAGCAATGTGTTGTCTTACTTAGGAAACTTATTGGTAGTTCTATTAGTTAACCTGGGATGTACATGTTTGCTTATTTGGCTCACTCTAACAAGATTTTTGGGTTGATTCGAGCTAGATTCTCATGTTATACAACTAGGGCTGAAACTTGGGTTATAACCGAAATTCACTTATCCAAGTTTGATTTTAAAAACATAATATCCTGACCCGATTGCTACCTAAATTTAAACCAAATCAAGAATTTTGTGTCCAAGCTCCATCTAAATATTGAAATATCTGCCTAATAAGGAATATGTTGTATTGGACTAGGGGTTAAATTAAGGTCGATCTACCTAAATTGAACCCCATGTTAGGGTTTATGGAGGACAACGAGGGGTGTGAGGAGAGAGAGGTGAAGTAGTCGTTAAAGGGCGGGGAATTAGAAGGTTGGTGAAAAAGAGGAGGGTGGTATTGTGTTGGTTGTGACTAGGGGCAGAGTTAGGATCTTTTGTCGAAGGGGGTAAAACAAAAATAAAATAAATACCAATGGATATAAATTACCACATATTTTAACCACGAGAAATATATTAAGATTCATAAAAAAATTTGTATGTAACAAATAAGATTTATATCAATAATATATCAAAGCGAAACAACATACTTCTAAAAATTTAAATATTGTCTATGATTGATTCTATGCCAAGTTTCTTACTAATTTCCTTTCAATAGAAATACTCAAAGAGTTCATGACAAAGTCATCATTCAATTTTGTTGTAAAACCTAGTTGAATCATCTTCTCTTTTTTATTTGAGAAAATAATCATTTAAAAAAATAAAAAAAAACACTTTTTTTTTTGTTAGAATATTTCACAATTTGCTTTTGAGCATGTTTTATTGTGTTATAGCCCGTTGACTTACCAAAAAAACAAAATCATGGACAACTACTCCATTATTTTAACAAATTGGGACAACTTATTAAACAAAGTAAATGTATTTTCTGTGGTAACAAGATATAAGATATGGGAAATGTCATAATTATTTTCAAGAAAATATAAATAAAATATTTGTTTCATCGGTCACGCATGTTGACCCTACACTTCATTATGCATGATCATGATGATAAAAAAATAGAGTTAATTGCAAGTTGCACTCCGAAAGCTCGAATCTCAATTTAGACCCTGAAATATCAAAAATCTCAATTTGTACCTTCAAAGATAGAAATTTGTATCAATGTGCACCCCCAAAGATAAAAAATCTCAATTTGCATCCTCAAAGATAGAAATTTGTATCAATGTGCACCTTCAAAGATAGAAATTTGTATCAATGTGCACCTAAAACTAAATTGATAAATTATACCTAGATCCCTTCATGCTTGTCACTTACTCATTTGAACCTCTTCACATTTAGAATATTACTCCTACATCTCATGATGTTTGTGCACGTGTAACACGTAACCCCTTTTCGTTGATATCTGTTAATATAATCGTTAAAAATATGATTTTATTATAATAAAAAATTATAATTTCATATTACCCTTTATTTTTTGGGTCCGATATAATCTAAAGTTTAAAATCATGCTTACCATTTGAATCTCCAATAGAATGTAGATATTTATATAATATTTTTATATCCAATGCAATATATCACTTAATGCGCAACTCTTTATTCTATTAGGCATTCAAATGATAAGCTTGATTTTAAACTTTAGAGTATATTGATCCCACAAAATAATTGGTAATATGAAAATATAAATTTTTATTAGGATAAAATCATATTTTTTAACGGTTATATTGACAGATATCAACGAAAAGGGGTTACTTGTTACACGTGCGTAAACGTTATGAGATGTATGAGTAATATTCTAAATGTAAAGGGGTCCAAATGATTAAGTGACAAGCATAAGGGGATCTAGAAATAATTTATCAATTTAATTTTAAGTGCATATTGATACAAATTTCTATTTTTGAGGGTGCAAATTAAAATTTTTTATCTTTGGGGGTACACATTGATACAAATTTCTATCTTGGAGGGTACAAATTGAGATTTTTGATCTTTGAGGGTGCATATTGATACAAATTTCTATCTTTGAGGGTGCAAATTAAAATTTTTGATCTTTGAGGGTGCAAATTGAGATTCGAACGATCTTTCAGGGTGTAATTTATAATTAACCCTAAAAAATATCTTAATGTGATATGATGATTTATTGTGTAAGACATTGAGTTAGTGAACGATTACAGAAAGAAGAATGTGGTGCCTTCGTGTGGGAAGAACAACAAAGATGAAAAAGGAACAAAGTAGATTTAAAGAAGGACAAACTCAAATTTAAATGAGGGTGATATATGACCATTGAGTTTTTAAAGGAGAATAAAATTTATGTGAAACCCGGAAAAACTAAAATTTTAATTAAAATTGTAAAATGGTAATTAGTCATTAAAGCATGGGTAAAAAAATCAAAACTTTATATGACTCAAATGATGAAACAGATCTCACAATTAGGTTCGGCTCGTGAAATCTAATTACTCAGTCAATTTTCATTGAATTTTGAGATTATTGAATTTTTCACATTTTATGAAGTAATCAGGTATCGCGCGATAAAAATTATTGTGATCAAATTTTATTTGAAAAATTGGGAAATAATTTAAATTAGTTAAATAAAAATATACTAAACTTAAAATGAAGCGAGATTTATTTGATACGGAATAAAATTGAACCCGTGAAAATTGAATGTGTGGCACTATATGAGCTAAGCATTCAAGGATATAAAAAATGTGAAGTCTTTCACTTCTTCTTTACTCCAAATCTCGGCCATAAAGAGACAAAATAGAGAGAGAAAAGGAAAAGAAAGGAAAATAAAGCTTTTCCACCTTCTTTATTTGATCTAGCGAAATCTGGGCAACAACTTGATTCGAATAAAGTGTTAAAATTACTCACAACGGCGAGGGTTACGTATGGGTACTAACCACAATCAATTACGATATTTTTCAAAAATCGGGTTTT